TGTTTAATAGTGTATATATATATATATATATATTTGTATTAGTAAACTAAATTAAATTAAATCAGATTACATAATTAAGTTCATTTTGTAAAATCAGATTAAATTTATATTGGTGAATTAAACATTTGTATCTCCCCTCAAAAAAGAAACAAAAAAAAAAACATTTGAATCAGTTAACTACATTTGGATCGTGAAAATATGGAAAGAAAGAAAATTGAGAAGGAACTTTAATTCACTTATTTGAAAGTGAAGAAAATATGGGAGAAAGAAAAATATGAAGGAAAAATAATGTTAACGTTGTCCAAACCGAATTGGCAAGAGCTTAGAGATGAATATATTGCTAAACATAGTGCCAAGAGGGTCGCTTCGCTTGAGCCTAAAACTTATAACATGTAAATATTGAATATGTATATGACATTTTTTATTTTTTATTTTTTTTTAAAAAGGTACACCTTGCTTGAAGGAAAATCTTAGAACTATAAATAGGAGAAGCTTCTGTAATAACAGACAAGCGAATTGATATAAACAAATTTGTTTTTTTCGTGCATTCAAGTCATCTTGTATCCTCATTTCTTATTTGGTACTCAATTTCTTAAATTTCTCTCATTCACTCTCATATTTGCTTTTCACTATCATATTTGCTTTTCCATCTCTTAAACTCTTCTTATTCTCCTCCATTTTTTCGAAACAAACAAGCTGCAACTCATTTGTCCAACTATCACAAGGCACTCGTAATATACATAGGCTCAATGGCTCACATCCAATTTTGGGCTAAATAAATAGATTATGGGATCCACGTGCTATTTTCTCTCCCATTTGAAAAAAAAAAAAAAATTGGAGAAAAATACTTATAAGAGATTGAATTGCCTAAACCAGATCTATGGGTCCACTCATGGGTCAACCAATAGAAAATGATTTTTTTATTGATAGAATATTTCTAATCATATACCGAAAAACAATGATAAAATAGGAATAATTTTTAGAACTTCTTATTTTTATTGATTTGGTTCATCAATGAGGTTATAGATAGAGATGATAATGGGTCAGGTACCACTTAAAATTCACTATTTGAATCCGAACTTGATTACAAATTTAATACTTGAACCCAATTATAATTTCTCATTTAAATACCTAAACCCGTTTAAATATTCATTTAGAATTAATTTTTTTTTATTTTTTTATTTTTAAAATAAAAATAAGTATAAATTATATAAAATTATATTTTGACTTAATAAAAATAATCATATACGGATAACAAACTGATAATAGGAATAATTTTTAGAACTTTATTTTTCATTGATCTTGGTTATTCAATGAGGTTATAGATTAGAGATGATATGGGGTCAGAGTACCATTAAAATTCACTATTTGATCGCGACGTTGAATTACAATTTAATGACTTGAACCCAATATATTTCTCTGTTAAATCCCTAAACCGTTTAAATATCATAATTAGATTAATTTTTTTTATTTTTTTATTTTAAAATAAAGAATAAGTATAAATTATATAATTATATTTGACTTAAATTAAATAAATATAATTATAGTATTAATTATAATTAGAAAGGTGTATATATAATTTTCTTTTAAGAAAAATAATTAATTTAAATATTTTAAAGTATTAATTAAACGGGTAGTGGGTAGTGGATACTTGTGTCATTGAATCCAAACCTGATATAAATAGCAAAAAAAATACTATTTGAACCAATTAAAATCGGGTTAGATCGAAATGGATACCTACGTGGTTGGATAAAATTGCCATCTCTAATTATAGACTCAATGTTATTAAATCTAATCTATAATTATAATTATAAAATTACCCTTATTTATCGTACTTTTTTTTGAAAAAAAAAAAGTAAAGGTTAAACTTTATTCATAAATTCATTTTCCTTTTTTTATTTTTTTCATCTAAAATGTCCAAACATCAAGATATAAAATTATGTTCATAAATTCATAAATTCATTTTCCATCTTCAGAGCATTTGATGATATAATATTTATATTAGTGTTTAGAGTTTGCAAAAGTAAAATATACAACATTAGACCTTTTAATATTTAATGAAACGCAGATAAAACTATCAGTTAGCAGAACAATTTTTTTTTTTTTGAAAGAGAAGAAATATCGTATATTATCTCAAGGAAAAGTAATACAATAAACATTCGGGCACTGAATCCCAAACATGAACACGATTAAAACGATAGGACGCTCTAGCTAAGCAATGAGCACCTATATTATCGTGTCTTCTAATCCAACGAACCTGGACTAATGGAATATCCAACGAACCTGGACTAATGGAATGGAGGCTAATAATAAAATACAATCAGAAATAACAATACCCAGCTCACTCATATCTCTAATTTTGGACGAAAGAGCATTAGAAAGATATTGAGAATCTATTAGAATAGTACCTGCACTCTGAATATGCTGAGCTATAGCAGAACAATTAATAACTACTATAATACTTAATTTTGCGGAATAGGGGCTAAGAGATTGGCGCGAGGTTCCAACCAAAAGTTGCCTAATCTTTCCTAACATTGCCAAACGAAGCCCTCACCAAAATCTAATCAACTACATCTACATGCCTTAAAATGAATGGCGATTAGTGGAGGTCTAATGAGATGTAAGGCCTTCCCGTAAGGGGAAAAGAAGACTCATACAAGCTGAAAACTAATAATATTATATTTTTATTTTGTTTTTTATATTTACTGATTTTTTTAATTTATTAGGAGATTCAGTCGAAATAATATAATGGACTACAGAGGTAGTCCTTTCTTTAACTCATTAAATTAGTAAAAAAACTCATACGATCGAGAAGACTTTTATTTATTTATTTATTTATTTATTTTTACTTATGTCATGAGAGAAAATAATTAAATAATAAAAATCGAATTAATTTCAAAAAAGAAAATAATAAATGAACTTGACATTATATTTCAACCCACAAAATCAAGGCAATGGGTTTGTAGATCCTTCCTATTATGTATTAGGTGTGTTTTCAATTCATTTATATATTAAATAAAACAGATGACATGTCATTCAGATTAATGCATATGATGAATTGGCAATCATCAGATTCGAGTTATTTCGAATCGAACAAAAATTCGAGTGAATCGCGTATCAAATTTGAAGCTAAAGAACCTCCAAGAGATGGAGATTTGCAACCTCAGGCAAAGCAATAATGATGGTTTCAGCAAAGAAAATGGCGACAAATTGGTCAAAACAATTGTTAAAGTAATGTTTGTGATGAGAGAGTCGAATCATTTATATCATACCTCACGTTCGCGACTACATTTTTTTATTATTACACTATCATCACCCTTCACATGACTTTTTTTTTTTTTTTTAATTATTTCTTTTTTTTTAATTATTTCTTTTTTTTTTTTTTTAATTATTTCTACATTCTGTGTTTCATCTCCTACATACAACAATTGTCTTTTTCGGTAGACCTGTGGGTCCCGCTAATAAGATTAGCAGTGAGTTGGCAAAAGCTTTTTTTTTTTCTTTTTTCTTTTTTAATTATGTTACTGTAACTTTTATATCATTAATAAATCCTTATATTCAAAATAATTAAACGATAGAGCTTTCCAGTATCATAATTTTATATGAAATGGGGTAAATCTGAGGGGAAAGAAAGGGCATGGATATAAAATTATACACTTTTTTTATTTGGTATTTAAAAAAAGGAAAAAAAAATAATAATTTCTCATTATTCTACTTATAGGAATTGATAGAGTATGCCGAATTGAAAGCATAAACCATTCAACTTAACGGTGAAGAGATTTATTATTTTTAAATTATGTAATTCAGACATTTATTTAGAGAAAATCTTATTCATAAATTATTTTTCAAAATTTCTGATGTTTGGAGTGGTAAAAAAATTAGTTAATTAAAAATATTTTACTAATCAAAACGAAATTAAGATATCTATTTTCTTACCATCTCTGTTCCATAATATTTGTCACATTTGGAATCATTAAATTTGTTTAAGTTACAATAAATTATTGAGTAAATTGACTATATTATCTTCAATTTTAATACTTCTTTAAGAAAATCATTAAATTAAAATAATAATTACTGATCATATACAAAAAATAAACATGGTAAAAAGAGATTTATTGCTCTTTCAAACCATAAATATAACAATTATTTTAAAATAAACTAATTTCTCAAATATAACAAATATTGTGAAACAGAGATGATATACTTTTACAAATGCATATTTGTCTTAAGACATTTAATTTATTATAATTCTATAAATACATATTTATTGATTCACTTATCGTTGTAGCCTTCACCACAATTACTAACCACAACAAAAATTTTACTCCTGTTCTGAAAGATAGCTCATTTTTTCTTTTTGATTTATTACTAAATATAGTCTACTTTTCTTTTTCTATAGTTAATCCTTAAATTGTTTATTACAAATATAGTCTACTCACATATTATTTAAAATGAACATAATAGAAAAGTTATATAAATAAAATTATTCTTTAATTATAATAATTGCTATTTTTTTAATTTGTATAAAAATAGAAAGTAAATTTTTTTTTAGACAATGAAAGTATCATTTTTTTATGTTCTATATCATATTTAACAATAAATTTTTAATATATATAATATGAATACTTTTAATCTTATAAATTAAAATTTCTAATATTTTTTTTGACTAATTTTGATATTACAATTAAACAACAGCATTTATTTTTCAAGTTGAAAAATATTTTTTAAAATTAAATTACCCGAAAACAAATAAAGCCTCAACATTAAATTAGTTTCATGTGCACATCAAGACATTGCTTTATGACCTGACAATAAATCCAAGTTTGAATCTCAACCCCCCAATAGCTTTTAACTGAAATGCATCACTCCGAAATCTTAGTGCCCGCTCTCCACTCCCATTGGTCAATGATGCACGTAAGTCAAAAAAAAAAAAAAAAAAAAAAATGATGCCGTAAGTCAAAAAAAAAAAAAAAAAAAAAAAAAAAAAAATCATTTTCATCTACCCCTTAAAGGGTGAAATTGGAGCAAGCCACTTTAATTGATGACTTCAAGTTGATCCCAGATAAATTTTGAATGGAATGAAATTAGAATCTGCTCACCTCCCCACCGATGACCCGCCTCGGTGCCAACCGGCCTGACGTGACGCAAACAAACAAGGGTTCACAAGTAAAGAGCAGACGGAGAAGATAATTACAACATAATCAAACCAAAAACAAAGATTATGTACTGATGTACTTAAGTATACTCTCTCTGGAAACAAGTTGTAATTCATTTCTATCTAATAACAAGGCATTAGGCATTCACAGTTGACTTGAAGTGATCGTCATCTATTGTTGAGTAAATGAAGCCATTGTCCACAAGAGACTGCAATTCTTCCCTGTCACAGACCCAGAACTTGAATATATAAGTATAGTATTCTCCTTTAAGAGCCATACACATTTATGCATGTCTATATGGGTGTGCATGTGTTAGAGAGACACAGAGAGAGAGAGAGAGAGAGTGTGCATGTGTTAGAGAGACAGAGAGAGACACAGAAAGAGAGAGAGAGAGAGAGAGAGAGAGAGAGAGAGAGAGAGAGAGAGACATGAGCTTCTTCATTGGCATATTTAGCTGACGGGCAATGACATTAATGTGTACACCATCCTCGCTAGCACTGCAACAATTAAAGATTTGGAAGTCACTAGCTAATCAACAATAAATAAGGTGTAAAATGAACATCAAAGTGTAGTGAACTAATAGTGTAAAATGAACATCAAAGTGTAGTGAACTAATAGTGTAAAATGAACATCAAAGGTGTAAAATGAACATCAAAGTGTAGTGAACTAATAGTGTAAAATGAACATCAAAGTATACACACAGGGACCAGATATTTGTTTATATTCTAGAGCTAAAACATAATGCTTACGGCTAAGATCTCAATGAAATCAAGGCACAATAAGACCTAGGAGAACTCATACTATATTAATTATCCCTCACAACTGATAGTTTCACATTAAAAACCACTACTTATTGTATCTTGAGATTTTCTTTTATCATATTAGTTATATTATTAGAGGGCATCATATATTACACCTGTGCAAAATAATTTTCCAGTAGATAATTTAATATCCATACTTATTTCCAATTTGCACACTACACAACAAATTCGATAGAGAAAATATATAGGGATAGATGCTTCTTTCTCCCAAAACATGTTCATCAAGCTACTAATACTAGTAGTTTGCTTCATCTTTATCATTTAAATTAGGCATCTTGACTGACAGAAACTAGTATGCAGAACTACTGGGTACTTGTGAAGTTCGTTATGCTAAACATAGCTGAAGCTGAAGCTTGTAAATGGAAATGCAAAACAAGAATTAGAAAAAATGAAAGAAACTTATGGACTTGCTTCAAATATCCTATCCATCAACATTTTTCCATTTGTAAAATTACTGTGGCATATCATCTCTAACTTAAATTGATAACTGAATTCAAAACTAGAAAATAAGGATAAGGAACCCAACAAGTTGCCCAATGCCATAAACTAAGAAAGAAAAAAAAAAAGGTCCCTTATCTGCCCATGACTAGATGTACAACAATCATATCTTAATCAACTGAGAATTCTTACAAGACAGGCTTGAAACCAGTGATAATGTTCATGAACTTCTTGCATTTGTACTTTGAGATGTTCAAAAGACAAACCCAAGAAATAGGTTTTGATAATATACAATTGAATTCCAGAAATTTATCTATGCATCTTTCCACCAAACAATGTGATTCCATCCTCTATTGTTGTTTATTACAGGTTTTTATCTGATCAAAATAAATCTCATATCCTACACTGTGCCAACTTTATTGATATGACTAGGAGATGAGATCTCCAGAACCCATAGAACATAAAATTTCACCATAAAGTCTTAATGCTTCCTGAATAAATATACAAATGAAACTCTGAGCAACAATTTTTTCCAAATTATCTATCTAACACACTAACCTTGCAATCTGGAAGATGGACTGACTGTATCAACTCAATTATTCTTGTAGATCAAAACAGGTATCTGGTAAACTATAATCTGACATGTCAAGATGCAAATTGCAAGGCAGACCAACTCACTTCAATTATCTCATAGATCAAGATAGGACATTTAGGAAACTTAGATGTGGTGTTAGAAGTAAATTTCCATGAAACATACTGATGTGAATGGAAGTAGAAACATGAGAAAATTGTTAATTTTTTACAATAGCTCATGCGAGGAAAACAGCAAAATTAGTTTGAGTTTGAGGATATTAAATATAACTCACAGGTATGGGGGCTGCTGCAAAAAATTCAATATCATTTGACCCAGGCTGTTCAATCCATCAGTAGATGAATAAGCAGAAGACTGAAACATGGTAAAATTTGAGGATTACAAAAAAAAAAAAAAAAAAAAGGATTTACAAAAAAAAAAAAAAAAAAAAAAATCATTCAACAAATGATACAAAGATGTTCACCTAGTTAGAAACATTACTTGATTTGGTGGGGCGGTTTCGTAACCTTTCAAAGGAGTGTTCATGGTTGAATTTGCCATCTGGGGCTGAGTAGTGGCACTCTGTAGTTAGTCAGGGTGGATGCACATGTTTCATTGGAAAAAGAGGTCAGTAAATGAGCAAAGGCAACACTATAACATTTAAAACATGTTAAAAAGAGAAATTTTCAACCATAGTTAAGGTCACTAGGTCAAAATACCCTTATCCTTGTATTGTAGAAATGAACGTAAATACACTCGATGAAGTGGCTTGTGATCTCATTGAAGTCAGTAATAGGCCTGAAATAGTTGAGCTTGAAGTTAAAGCACTAAACTTAACCTATTTCATACGTGAAGAGTAAGGCACATAAATTGACATGAAATACTGGAAAGTTTAGTATGATTATATAATTTCACAATAAAGGAAATAACCCAATAAAAGAACTACCACAAGGAGCTTGTTATGTAACCTGAACAGTTTTCATCAACATGCAGATAAATGCAGTTAAACTAACCATGAAGAAAATAAAGCAAATAGGAAGGTGATTCCTCACTGCATGTTTGTAGTAAGTTTAGACGACAAAGTTTACTTGGATATTTGGAAAATGAAGTATAGCACAAAAGATTCCAAAGACGGCTAGTAGTGTTTTTGATGCATAAAGAAAGACAGTCTAATGATCTGTAATCCTAGTCCAAATTCAGAAGTACTAGAACCTATCAATTCAACCACGAGAATGTGATGAGAAACCACTGTGGTGTGACTTGATTAGACATTAAATTGTGTAGTTTGAATGAATTTGGGTTACCAAGGGTCAAAACCAATCAGAGGCAAAACTCAGCTCAACAGCATGTTTTATTTCGCAGGAAGGTAAAAAGCCATCTAAACCTTTCTCAATTGTGTGCTTAAACTCAAAGGCCTCAGCAAATATACCTACAAAAGGAGGGGGGAACAACATATAGCAAAGGGGAAAATAACTTGAATTCAACAGTGAAATTAGGGGCATACATCTTATCCAACAGCATTACCTAATCAAATATCAAGCAATCAAGATTTGGTGCTGGGACATGGACATAAATGCAGATGTATCAAAAATTTTAAACTTATAGGAATTTTTGGCTGTTTCTGAAAGGGAGTGGTGGGTTGATGGACTGATTTTTTCCCATGTAATCTAGTCCATTAACAGAACTATAGAAAAAGAAAATCAAATACGTACCTAATGGAGAAGGCATTTATGAACCTTCTGCCCTGCAGGCCTCTCAAGTGTCCATGAACACGAACATACCTCCCAATTCTATTGTGGAAAATGGTAACGCAGTATCAGACATTAATTCTAAAACAAGAGAAATGAGATAACTTCAAACACCTTTTAATACTAAAATGGCAAATTATTTAGCCAATGATCTAGTGTCTTGATTCTCCTTTTGATTACTGACAAATTGAAGGAAATTGAAAGAAAGCTTGGATTCTGCATTAGCAACTTCAATTTTCAAGTTTCAAGTTCAAATTGTAGCAGCTACCTAAGCTTTCATTTCTTGCATTACATGATCCAGCCCACATTATTTCTTGTTACAAAATACAATAAGGAAATATTATGAGGTTAAGAAAAAGCAATCAAATAAAACATACGAGTTTCATCCAAAATTTGTTCAAAGAACGCTAACAGCCAGCTGAATCAATTAGGCTCAATTAGTCTACAAATTACTGAGATATTAAGAAGGAACAACAGGCATTTTAAAAGTGCAAACAACCAGACATACAAGATTCCCTCCACTTCATCTGTGTCTATGCGCTCTTGGACCCTGTAAAAACACAAAAATACATCACAGACCCAGTATATAGATAAAGTAATATTAAACAACACTATGTCATCAAACTACATATTAAATGGAAAATAACTAACCCCTTACTTCGTATAAATGAATTTGAAGCATAGAACTCATATACAAATTGACAGAATTTAATTTAGTTACATTAAATTCAATAAAATTGAATTATAGGAATAAAATAGAACCATTTCCATTCTTACCAAATATTACAAGAAATTTCCAAGAGAATTTTGCCAAATTTAATGGAACTCATTTGTACCAAACATGGCATAAATGTTGGAAAAAGAAAAGAACATACCATCTGGTACATTCAATCTGTCCTGTCCCATCATCAACAAGGAAAGTATACTCGCTGGCCTTGTCTTCCTTTTGGCATACCCTACCCACAATTGTAACCTAAACAGAACGTAAATTCATAACCCTAGTCCAAAATCAAAGTAAAAAAAAAAAGGAAATTCAAACAAGAGCAAAGACTACCCAAGTTGTAATAAACTTACATTAGTCACTTCAACACCATCAATAAGGAAATTGGATTCATCATTACTAGGTAGTTCACATATCTGCTTCAATGTCAATGGTAATAAGCACCTGGTCTCGCGATTCTGCAGAGACAAATAAAAACCCTAAAATGCTCTTCTTTGACAGAAAATCGCAAATCGAAGCTCTCAATTACATAACCCTAATCCACAGTTCAATTGATTAGGAAAATGGGAAAGAAAATCCTTTAATAGTTCAAGAAAAAGAAAAATGCAAAAAGAAACAAAAAAAAATACTCTGGAGGAGGAAGGGAAAGAGGAGGAATCCGCCGGCTGGGTGGCCTGAGAGGGCATGAACCCGCCGCCCATGAAGGCTGCTGCGCTTCCATCGAATTCGCTGTTACGATACATTTGCCTTTTCTTTTTATTCCTCAGTCGGCGCCTAAGTTTGTCCTCTTGGGATATAAATTTGTGCAAGCGTGTCGGATGAACCAAATATCTCGCATATGATTAAACTTTCCCGCCAATTAAAACGATGTTTTTTTTATATTGTAGAAAATTTGAAACGACTATCGATATTCCGTCCGTATAAAAAATGGTTTTTTTTTTTATATTTATAAATTTAATTTTGGTAAGTTAATAGGATTTCTAATTGATTTATAACTATAATTCTTAAATAATTCAGAATTAAATATTTATCATAAATCGTATATTTTATTATTAGGGGAGTACAATAATAAATTTAAATAATAAGTATCAATTTTTAATTCTTTTAATTGAATTGTTTTTATTATTTTTTTAGAATTGTAGAACAAAGTTAGCTGTAAATATCAATCTATCATTTATTATTTAATCATTTTATTATTTTTGTTAATAGTTTTATTTGAATGATTTTTAAATTTGTTTAGTAATTTAAATTATAATTATTATAAAATAATATAACACTAAAGAGAAGAAAGAGAAAGAATAGAGAGCAAAATATAGGAGAAATTTGAAAGTGTACATATTATTGATGAAAAACCACACACACACACACACACATATATATAGTTACAAAAGTGGAACCCTAATAGAGTCCTACGCAAATCAAGAAGATAGAGTTCGCAATAATTAAGAATACATACTTCTAGCCCATATATGACGTCCACTTTTTTTATTACGATTCCTTTTGGATGTCCATTCTTTAAAGAATATGCCTCGTTTAAACCTTACTAAGAAAAAACCTTGTGAAAAAAAAATCTCAGTGAAGGAAAAAGAGTACATTTTTTTTTCAATACACGTTGAAATACTGCCTCATTAAAAACTTTACCAGAAAAACCCAATGGAAAAAATAGTATAGTGCGTATTTATTCTCCATCATGAAGATAAATCTTAAGATCTTTGAGTTTATGTAATCCAATTTTGTGCGTCAATTCTTCAAAACTTGTGGTAAAAAACTTGTATTAGAAGTAGAAAATATGTTGATGAGCAAATCAACAATATCGTCACTTTAGTGGTTGAACGTCAAGATTATTATTCTTTTGTAGATCATGGGTGAAGAAGAAGTTTTATAAAATATGATTTTCTTGCTGTTTTAAGTATATCATTTCTTCAAGGGAGATGACTGTACGAAATATTATCTCCATGTAATATTGTAGGAATTTTTTTCTCTAGAGAAATAGACTTTACGTACCATGAACAAACACATTCTTGTTATTCTTCATGAGTTGCTAAAATATTTGCATAACTAAAAGAAGTAGTAGCAACTTTTCATCCCTTAAATGCAATGAGATTATTGTACCTCCACATGTAAATGAACGGCTTGATTATAATGTAACATAATGTTGGTTACACAAGTAACCTGCATTTTCATAGTAGATCAAAACTAATTTTGACATGTTAGTTATAATATAACTCATATATATCGTGTTATGGAGATGTCAAAATATATGTTTGACTTCATTTAATTTCTTTATATCTAAGAAGAACTATATCTTGCTAATAAAATTTATAAAAATCAAGTCTAAGTATGAGTAGCAAGATACATTAACACCTTTATTGCACTAAGATATGCTACTTCAGGACTACAAGCTCTTCATAATTTTCTCAAAGTGAAAAATGGTCATCTTCTCATCAAGTGACCCTACTATTATCCACATAAAATCATTTGAATAACTTAATCATATATGTGGATTCATAGGCAGATTTTCATTAATGAAATGCTCAATCTTCTGGCTAAGACAAAACTTTATATTTTCAATGTCTTTTATCTCAAACTCTTCCCTTAAGGAATTTATAATCTTTGGAAGAATGAGTTCCAATAATGTTCATAAATCAAATAATGACAAATTCATATTCAAATATCTATATAAAATTCATGAACATATAACAATATTACAATATTATTTTAAAATATCTTTTTCAACAGATTATTCACTATCGAAGAGATCCACCTTTACTCATATCATTATACTGAAGTAAATATCCAAATCAACAGATATTCACTAATCGAGAGATCACTTTACTCATGATCATATATGAAGTAAATATCAAAAGTATGCTTTCAATAATAAAATATTATAAAAATAATATAATATTTTCTTAGCCATAAACATCATGAAGACAATTAGACTATAAGTATTGAGATTTCCTTAATCCATATAAAAATCTTAAATATATTTCTCAGGGTCTTGATTTGCTTGCTTCAAGCACTTTTCCAGCATTTCATGGATATCATTATCCAATAATCTATATAGAGCTCTATAATATTAGTTGAATAAATTTCTCGAGAATTTAACTTCATGCTTCAAGCAACTAGAATCCTTCAGGACTTTTCATATAAATATCTACATCAAGTTTGCTATATAAATAGACTGCCATTGATGCATTAGACGCATTTAGAATTTTCATAAAATTGCCAGACTAATCAAATATCAAATTATAATTGTATCCACAACATGAAGGTATTATCTCACAATCAATGCCAGCTTTTTGCGAAAAAACATGTGCAACAAATTTGCTTTATATCTCATGACCTTATTTCAATTTCGCATAAATACATATTTGTATTCTACTGGCTTGACATTTCTTGATGCCCATAAAATTTTTAAATTTACTTTTCAAGTAAAATTAAATGCCACATGCGTCATTTTATTTTGGCTAATCAATTTTATGTCTATATTCTCCAATTGACTAAACTCAAGATCCTTTTCATTTTTCACAATTTCAAGTGCTATATTTATCATCAATGTTTATTTTATATCGGTTCTATACTTATTCTGACATGACATAATTTATATAGATCTCATAATCTTTATTGATTTCGGATAGTTGAGTTTTTTTGGAAAACTTATTAGTCATGTCTAGGAAATTCTTTCATAATTTGCTCTTCTAGAGTTTGACCATCTTGAATATTTACTTATTTTCTTTTCTAGGATTTTTATCCTTAGAACCGATTAGTCCACCATGCTTCAAGCGTGCGTTAGACTCATTAACATAGGCAATTTGTCCTTCAGGGACTTTAATTTTAATAGGAGCATTTGCGGCTAGGATATGAGATTTAATTATCCTCTTTTGGATCAATAAATATATTTGGCAATTGATTTGCAATATTCTGCAATTAAATTATCTTTTAAACTTTTAAAAAATACACTGCCTTACATGAGAATCAAAATATAATAACTATGATTCTTTTTCAACTAATTTATTCTTCTAGCTGCTTACTTTCTCCCCCTAATGTCGGGATGCATAAAAATTAACAAATTTGGCTATAAATAACTTTCTTGTTCGAAAGTTTTAGATATTTAATCATAAATGCAAATTCATACCCAACATTTTTTCCAACCTTCTTTGAGAATCCATCTTAGTGTGTTGTAGTGGAGCAATTAAAATATATACGGCACATTTAAAAATTCTTCAATGGGTAGTATTTGGTTCATGATCCAAAATCAATTATAAAGGGGAGAACATAAAATGATTTATTGGCCTATTGCGAGTATATCCCTCTACAAAAATATGGTGCTTTATTCCCATAATAATTGCCTTAAAATTGATTGCAATAATATAATCAATGATTATATTAAATCATTTTGAGCATTAATAAAAACAACAATTGTTTGCCCTATAATTATTTCAATCAACACATGTCATTAAAGGCCTAATGTGTAAATTCACCATCATTCTCAAGATGAATTTTCTTGATAGTATAATCTGAAAATTATGTGCTTAATCAAATTATTTTCGTAAATAATTTTGCAAACTTTAAGTTGCAAGCTAACAATAATATTTGCATACCTCAAGTTGCAAATTAATAATCATGTAACTATCTTTTGGATGCATCCATAATATATCTAAATAAATTGATCAATAATTTCCCTTTATATATTTCAGAAATACAAACAGTTCAATTTGAACTCTTGGTGATCGCTCAATAATTAATTTACTTTGAAAACAAATTAAGCATGAAAAATTCATTAGACTTGAAGAAACTTTTGGTTCTTCAAGAAATATCCATATAAGGATTTAAATTTCTTCTCGCATCATTATTGATCGGGATGATCCAACCGATCATGCAAAATAATAAACGTACTTAGATTTGTAAACTTCCAGTTTACAATCATATTTATTTCAATAGCCATCTTCATATGATATTCATTTTAACGAATATCTTTAGAGAATGCATTATGCATAAAATACATTCATCTAGATAGTAATACTTGCTCTTTCAGAGCATATATTCTCTAGATAGTAATACTTGCTCTTTTCAGAGCATATAATTATATATATATAATATATAATAATATATATATAGTACTATATATATTACTACTAAAACCTATATTACTACTAAAACCAAATTTGCCTTTCAATATTTTGGTGTACAACAAGTACATAACTAATATCCATATATGTCATCTTATTTACTATTTCTGATGGTAAATTTTATTCTTAATTATGTAGTCATCATAATTATTAAGATCATCACTTCAACTATGATCTTATTTATCTTCTCAATGACAAGTATATTTTTGTCACTGTTCATGCCCAATATCATATATTATTGCATTAACTTCAGGGAATGCATCGGATCTAGTTAGGTGGATCTCATTATTCTCATGTCCAGTATTATATGTTATTCCATTAACTTCAGGGAATGAATGTAACATCCCTTCCCGGTCCACCCGTTAACCCGAATGAACCGAACCGAGACGCTACAATCTGGTTGAACCTATGTCCTTTCAGGCATCCTTATTGTTATGTGAATATTTATATCATGTTGTTGCTTTGCTACATTAGTAATATATAGATATGTACTTAATATTTACAAGACATTTACTAGTTTTTCCCAAAATGAAATACTAATTGTGCCCTGTACATGCCATGATAAGTATAGACAGGAACCAAAAATTATCAAAATGAATAGCTACCCTGAAGACTGGGTCTTCCCAAAGTGAACTTGCCAGCAGTTGTAGATGACTCCTTTATGGTTCTCCAGTCTCAAAACCTACGAGTTAAAACAG